TTTATTTATAAATATATAACTAAAAGCTACTTCCCTAACAGTCTTTTTTGTTACTGCTGAAGGTGGAGGGATTGAGAATGATACTGTCTGAAAATAAACGCTAACGCCTCAGGGAAAAAATACCCAAACACCACCATGAAACCCAGAACTGTCAAGGAAGGTGGAAATGGCTGAGATAACCAATTGCAACTCCAGCTTTAAAGCACTTAGACTGATATGCTACCATTGCAGGGGTTTTATATATTTGAACATGTGAGGGTTTTTTTGTTTTGTTTTGGGTCTTTTTTCATTAATGGGTACATGAAAGACTATTCTCTGGCATAAACAGTGCATGCCTGATACTTTTTTCCCACTTTAGTAATTTCTATACTAATTATTTCTCATTCTACACTCAGACTATATATTCAGCTTCTTAAGAGACTACATATTTATAGTTGTATTTTTCAGGGTTTAGAGATGGGTGGAGGCCATACTTTGAATTTTATCTTATATGGCTAGAGGCTTACGTGAAGAGCTTGAGGAAATGCTGATGACTGAAATTTTTAAAGGAACGATAAGTGTTTAGATAAGTATGCAGGCTGGGAAAGGACAAAGTTAAATGTAAAAGCTGATTGTTAATCAGTTTAGCTCAATCCAAGGCTTTTTGAATTTAAATGACTTGGGAATCTTTTAGTGAGGGTAAACTCCCTAACAAACTTCATCTCTCTGGAGAGGTTGGTATCTGATTGGCCTATAGAGTTCTCTCACTAAAAAGTTGTAATTGTATGAATTTCATATTCAAGATAATAAGTAGCTTCTCAGACTTGTGGACAAGTGATCAAAGCTGATAAAAATATTGCCCCAAAAATGAAGTTAAGGAGATTAGCAAGAATCCAAAGACTTATTTTAAATAATGGAACACTTATAGTAAGTGCGCTGTGTTGATTTTTACATCTTCCAGAAAAGTGTAGGTTTGTTCATCTTTTTTTCATCTTACTATGTCACATATATATATATATATGGTGTACGTATAAAGAGGTTTGGTTTTTCCCTGTTTTAATTACCACTTTTTGAAAGTGTGGGAGTAATGAAGATACTTACAAAATTTTGCAGAAAAAGACTTCTAGTGATTGAGTTGGTTATTTATTTCATAATCATAATAAAGTACAGTCACCAATAGCAGTGATAACAGTTGTGCTCCATTCAGTACATTATTTTAAATTTATATTTATTTATATGTGGCTTTGGGGAATGAGGAGGGGCATAAAGATTTATTTATGACTGCTTTTCTGAATAATGACTTAGTTATTCAAAAGACATTGGGGAGTCTTACAGGAAGAGGTTTTATCCTTTATTGGAGGAATTGATACAGTACAAAAGTAGGCAATCTTTTAAGCTTCAATTCTAGATCATAAGTAGTGCCTTTTTTGTCAGGAAATATTTTGAAGAATGAGGTGTCAATACCTACTACCATGGATATATTCTGGGCATATTATTTCTTTTCTTTCTAATTGCTACTTAAGTCTTATGCTGTTCTACTGAAGCTGTTCTTTCTTTTCCAGGCTGCTTAAGGCTAGTGCCTGCATGCCAGGACAGCTGCTACAGTCAGCAGGTTTCCCTAAGGCCAAATTACTCTTTATACAGGAAGAGGGAGCTGAAAAAACCTGTTGACTGCTGCTGATCTTAAACCTTCTTTAAAGAGATGTGATTTCAGGCTGTCTCAAACACCTTCAGAATGGTAGCTTCTCCGTCTGCTTTGGATTTTGTAAATCATGAATTTGGACATGACCCTGAAAGAAAGAACAACTCAAATAGGTAGAATCTGGAAAGTGCAAGAGCTGTGTTGGAAAATACTGAGGAAAAACTGTCATGGGCTCTTGAGATACCAAATGTCCCTAGTGTGGAGGCCAGAACTTGCCTATGGGGTTATGCCTCTGCTACTGTTTGCGGCTAAGGGAAAAATGCCTCCTTGACAGAGTTGAAAAGCTAGTAGTTACCTGTTTCCTGTTTTCCCTCGTGACAGTTCTTTGAAAGGCCTGATCTGCAAGACATATTTTGATCACCTCCATAGCTTTCTGACTGTAGTTACTTAAACAATTCATACTCAGAAGTGATTCTACCTTTGTAAACTATTTTATTGGTTATGGTACTTGTTCAGTTGGATTCTCAGTTGAAGAGGGCTTGAACCCACAGTTCACATAGAATGCTCTAGCCAGTCATTCTTCCTTTTTCCCACTGAGAGTGTGTTTCTGTGCTAAAAAGAGTTTACGGCTCAGAAGATAAAGGAGTAGAAGCCCTATGCTGTAGTTAATTGGTGCTAGCGTGGTAATAGGAAAGCTTTGGGTTCCCCCTCTGGTCTTAGATCACTTATTCTCCCCCTTATATCCAGGCACCGTGTAGTAAGAATGTGTGTGTGTAGATAAGTAGTTCGTCTTTCAACTGTTCATCTTAACATTAACTACTAGGATTATATGTTTTAAGACTGTCTTTCTTGTATTAAGACTTTGATTCCTCTATTCTCTTTATACAGGCCGAGATAAAAGGATGGAGAGGTTATGCTGTTTACCCTCCTTGAAATTTTCGTATATAAGCAATTTAAAAATATGACTGTACAAATGACAGGGAGCCTTTCAGAATTTTATCCAAGATTAATGTGAATTCAGGTGGGAATTTTTTTTAATACCCTCTTTCTTTTCCGTAGGTTTGCAGTCTTTAAAAAAAACCAGTTTGAACTGAAGAAACTTGAAGAAGTGTCTTGAAGAAACTGATATTCTCCATTGGCTGGCTGTCACCAAATTTAAACAGCTTTGTTGCTAGTGAATATGCATGCATCCTGACTATATTTCTACATGACTGTGTGGGGCAATATTCGTAATGAAGCTGCCATCATGTCATCCACAGGCAATGACATTGATATTGAAGAATTCTTGGTCAACATTAACTTGGGGCAGTATCTTCCTAACTTTAAAGAATATGGCTATAACGTTCTGACAGATTGCGTGGGAATAAATAACCATGTGCTTCAGCAAATGGGAGTGTTGCCTACAGGGCATCGCAGAAGGATTCTGAAGCAATTAGACACCACTCTCTCAAAGATGCAAGGAAATTCTCTTTTCTGTGAAAATCTAAAACTCAAAGACTTGAAAGGTTTAGAAGAGAAGCAGTATTTGTCCTCAGATCAGGAGTCTCCAATAAGCAATTCAGGTGTAGATGGGACTAGCTTGATACCTGCAACATTGTCAGAACAACTTCTTAATAAAGCTTACATTGATAAAGAAAGGTTTGAACTTGCAGAGCAAAACTTACCAGAGGCAAATCATGATAGCTTTACAAATTTGGATATTTCTAGTTTATACCAGAATTCAGACAGCATACTAAAAGCTATCAATTTAAGTGGAAGTATTAAGATGAATACTCAGCCAGATACATCACTGGAAGAAGCTGCTGCATACCAAGCTGGTGAGCACTTGGCTGGCTGTTTGGCATTTCATGATCCTCCTTCTTCATTTGCTCATTCGTGTGAGACAAAATACAATGAAAGCAAACATCTGATGTTTGCAGATGAGGATTATTTATCTGATAGTGAGCCGAATTCTCCATTCTTCAAGTTTAAAGGAGAAATGATAGACAATGACTTATATGATTCTTACACACAAAACTGCATGAAAGTATTTCCAAGAGCAAGCCGGTCTTTTATATTAAGGCATCGACCTGTACCAGAAATTCCTGAATCAAGTAAAGTTCAAGCTTCATCAAGGTAACTGCTGTTTCTTTCTGATGAAGAATTGCGCTTGTAGAAATTATGGTTTGGGGTTTCTTGCAGGTTTTTATGTCATTTTTTTGTGGATTTTTTTAATATGTGCTGTAAATACACTGGATCTGGTATGAATGTTGCCAGATTGACTGGAGGAGGGTTAAGCTTCAATGCAGGTTAGAAGCGCAAATGAGAGTATAAAGGGAAACTTCAGGACAGTGTTTCCTTATAACCTCCCCAATCATCTCTGAATCTACTTATTTTCAAGGAAAGGAATCTTTATTGCTTTAGATATAATCGTTAAAACAAATGTTAAAAACAACTATATCAAGCATTTTTTAAACCTAATCTGTATGCTCTTAATATAGGGAAGAATGGAAATACACAAGTGTTACAAAACCAAGATTGAAAAATAACAGAAAAAACTGTTGAATCTATTCCAAACAAAACCATTGCTAATAATATTAATTAGACCTTAGTTCCAGTGTTTCTGATGAAATTTTGATTAATCACGGGAAAATAGTGACAAAATGGTGATTTCAAGAGGGCTAAAAATTCACCCTTAAGAATAAAAATCTATTTTTATGATGAGACAACAGTTATTGTGAAACACGAGTATTCAGGTTGTATCTTAGTAATTTTTAAGGTCGTACCTTTCAAGAGATACTGCTTGGAAAATACAAGTTTATTATTTTTATATATGTAACTTACAAGAAAGATCTAGGAATTTTTACACACCTACACATATTAATGTAGTTTTATCTAAAAAGTGGGGCAAAATTTATAAAATCCTTCCTGTTTTGTGCATTGTATGGTGTAGCCACCCTGTAAACAAAGCAGGATGTATCTTATATGATTGCAGGCATGGGCATAACAAGATGATTACATGAGAATCTTAAGTCTTAGCCTGAAAGCTATATGTAAACATAAACATGTAAATTTTTTGTTTTAAATTAGAATAGGATATTTTGTGGAGGAGGAAATTACGTTACACTGTGGGTCTAAAGCAAGGACCTTCTTCAAGGTGGCTCTTAGATTAATTTCTAAACTGGTTGTCATTTAACAGTTAACTCAGAGAATGAATAAAACCATTTTGTAATATTAGGTGTTGGCTTTTGCTAGTGTTCTCATAATAACAAAACCTTAGATTTTAATGATGCTTGTAGTATAAAAACATTTTTGAGGCATTCCAGCAGGAAAAAAGAAGTGGAAAAAGGGAAAGGAAAAAAAAATAGATAGATGTGGGAGGTTTTCAGAGTTTATGGAATCTTTGTAAGGATAGTTCTGTGCAGCATTGGTGAGGATAGTATTGGATAGAGTCCAATAAAGTTTGTTACGATAAATTGCATGCAAGAGTTTGAATTTGTTTTAAAATATTCATGTGATGTGGGTGTGGATTTTTCTTCCTTCAAAATGATTGAGTTCATAATCTGAACCCACAAATTGGTGAGTAGCACTTACTGTCTTGAATAAGCATCAGTTGTTGTAGCTTGTCTTGCAAAAATATGATGGAATGTAGAGGAAAAGGTCTGATGTTAGAATTTAACTCCAGGCCTATCTTAATAAAAGTAATACTGTTTGAATGCTAAAAATCATAGGCACTGAATGTACAGTTGGTCACAATATTATAGGCTGTGTAAATGAAGAATATCTCCTCACAGATTGATTTGTTTTTTGTTCTGTTAACTATAAGCTTTTACTTGTCATGCTGGTTAAGTGTCTTAAACACAGAAGAAAAAATCATGCAAAGGCATATGCAAAGTTTTGTTGGTGTAGCCATATCCAAATCATTAGGCTGCACTTTTTTTAGTCTTTTTTTTTTAAACCACTAGCTATGCCTGGAAGGGACATGTCTGAGAATGTTTTGTATTTATCTTGTCTTTTTCATCTGCATATCTCACCAGTTAGAAACATCATTAGCGAGTTTATACATGCCCTAAATGCGGAGTTTTCGCAGCATTTATAAGTTTCTTTTAGATTATTGAAAGAAGTCAGTATTAAATGTTGTAATGCAATTGTTTGATTGAACAGATGGGGAGGCAAAGATTTGCAGCAATTAAGAGATTTTTGTGTGCCTTAAAAAAAGTTTAATCAGTGCCTTCTAAATCACCAAAAAATTGTGCTTATTGAAACTTAAGTATAAACATCTTTCAGTGAGGAGTAGCTTTATGTTAACTTTTGTAGAGTGATTATTCCTACTTCCTATAATAAAACTAACCTGCTGAGCTGAAATGGGAATCTCATCCTAAAAGATAACAATAACGAGCTGCTAAAAGAGTACTCTTAATGTCTTTTGAGAAACAATCATCCAGTAGAGAGAATATGCTATATTTGTAATCTTCCCTCCATTGAAGTAGATCCTCCAAATCACAGTCTGTTAGTGATTGATATATGGCTGAGTCACTAACTTCATTACCCACCATTTTGATTTGTGAGGTCAACCTTATTTTCTTCATCTTCATGCTCCAGTTATAACAACATGGAAATTCTAAAGGACCAGTAGCAGTCTGTCTGAGGAAGATCAAGGCTAAACCAGGCCAGAACTTAAACTTCACAGAAACATTCTTGATAATCTTGCTGGTATTTTTTTAGAGGCAAAGAATTAATACAGAACTTTAAAATGGCAGCTTGCAGCATCTTTAACCTCAGAAAAGATCGTGTCTGTCTTACAAATTGCAGACAAACATTCTCAAGTGACTTTTATTGATAGACGCTGGTTTCATCCTTATTACATTGTGTGAAGGCTTTTCTGTAGAAGCAG